ACTAAAATTTAGCTTTTTGGCCATCAAGTAAAACGCTATGTCTGGCACAAACCCAACACCTCTCATCACCCCGAGAACACCATCCCCACAGTGAAGCATGGTGGTGGCAGCATCATGCTGTGGGGATGTTTTTCATCAGCAGGGACTGGGAAACTGGTCAGAATTGAAGGAATTATGGATGGCGCTAAATACATGGAAATTTCAGTCTTCCAGAGATTTGAGTCTGGGAAGGAGGTTCACCTTCCAGCAGGACAATGACCCTAAGTATACTGCTAAAGCAACACTTTAGTGGTTTAAGGGTAAACATTGAAATGTCTTGGAATGGCCTAGTCAAAGCCCAGACCTCAATCCAATTGAGAATCTGTGGTATGACTTAAAGATTGCTGTACACCAGCGAAACCCATCCAACTTGAAGGAGCTGGAGCAGTTTTGCCTTGAAGAATGGGCAAAAATCCCAGTGGCTAGATGTGCAAAGCTATTATAGACATACCCCAAGAGACTTGCAGCTGTAATTACTGCAAAAGGTGGCTCTACAAAGTATTGACTTTGGGGGGATGAATAGTTATGCACGCTCAAGTTTTCTGTTTTTTTGTCATATTTCTTGTTAGTTCACAATAAAAAGTATTTTGCATATTTAAAGTGGTAGGCATGTTGCGTAAATCAAATGATACAAACCCCCAAAAAATTAATTTTAATTCCAGGTTGTAAGGCAATAAAATAGGAAAAATGCCAAGGGGGGTGAATACTTTCGCAAGCCACTGTACTTTCTGAATGCACTGTATGTAATGAGGAGGGATACCACAGAACCACACTAGTGTGTGCCATAATCAACCTGCCATCTGCTCAGCGCTTAAAGGACCAGTGCAGTCAAAAACGTGATTTCCCTGTGTTTTATACATATTTCCACACTATGAGGTTGGAATTATACTGTGAAAGCTGTATGAAAAGACCACCTGAAATTTCAACCTGTTTTGGTGCGATGGAGTTTTGGCCTTCCTGGTGACATCACCAGGTGATATATTAGTTAATATACCAATAGGAAAGAGAGTTCCAAACCTCTCTGCCAATAATAACTAGTTTTCAGTTTTCCCCTCCGCACTCAGACCACTCCCAGACAGTTCTAGCAAAATTCTTGCTTGAAAAATTGCTTTTAGCTTGAAAAAATAAGTAATTTTAATTGAAAACAATCACAGTAAGGTACTTAATTGTTACCCAGAAATGATTTGATACACACACACACACACACACACACGTGTCAAACTATACACCCTGATGTGTGTCTTCTCCAAGGCCAGGGCAGGCATCACCACACTCCTTCATACCTCCATGGTCTTCTATACATTCTATATGGTTTATCTCTGTGTAATTGGAATTATTCAGGGAGCTTGGTAGAGCAGCATGTCGGTATTAGAGTGGAACACACACACACACACACACACATTTTAAAGCCCCTATGCTCATTTCAGACCCCTCTTTTGACCAATCAGATCAGTTTGTTTGCCAATAATTGGGCAAAATATCAGAATTGGGCTTTGTAAAAGCAATTATATGCGACCTATCAGAATCTGGGGGAATCTTGAGACCAACATAAGCATGGCTGCCACTACAACACATTGGTCTCTGACCACAACTGGCTGACGTACTGATGTAGGATCTTAATTTGAGTCAGTTGCTACAACAGGAAAATAATCCTGCAGCAACAGGAAAATTCTATTTTAATTCCAGGTTGTAAGGCGACAAAATAGGAAAAATGCCAAGGGGGGTGAATAGTTTCGCAATCCACTGTATATGAATCAGCTGTGTAGTGTTAGGAGTGTTAGGAGTGTTAGGGCAAAAAGCAAAACGTGCACCCCTTGGGGACACGAGGACCGAGTTTGGGAAACGCTGGATTAGCCAACTAATCCAGCGGCACACTACACATGGCACACTACACTGCACAAACACACATCTCCCAGTCGTACAGTGAGGGAAAAAAGCATTTGATCCCCTGCTGATTTTGTGCGTTTGCCCACTGACAAAGACATGATCAGTCTATAATTTGAATGGTAGGTTTATTTGAACAGTGAGAGACAGAATAACAACAAATAAATCCAGAAAAACACATCAAAAATGTTATAAATTGATTTGCATTTTAATGAGGGAAATAAGTATTTGACCCCTCTGCAAAACATGATTTAGTACTTGGTGGCAAAACCCTTGTTGGCAATCACAGAGGTCAGACGTTTCTTGTAGTTGGCCACCAGGTTTGCACACATCTCAGGAGGGATTTTGTCCCACTCCTCTTTGCAGATCTTCTCCAAGTCATTAAGGTTTCGAGCCTGACGTTTGGCAACTCAAACCTTCAGCTCCCTACACAGATTTTCTATGGGATTAAGGTCTGGAGACTGGCTAGGCCACTCCAGGACCTTAATGTGCTTCTTCTTGAGCCACTCCTTTGTTGCCTTGGCCGTGTGTTTTGGGTCATTGTCATGCTGGAATATCGATTCACGACCCATTTTCAATGTCCTGGCTGAGGGAAGGAGGTTCTCACCCAAGATTTGACGGTACATGGCGCCGTCCATCATCCCTTTGATGCGGTGAAGTTGTCCTGTCCCCTTAGCAGAACAACACCCCCAAAGCATAATGTTTCCACCTACATGTTTGATGGTGGGGATGGTGTTCTTGGGGTCATAGGCTGCATTCCTCCTCCTCCAAACACGGCGAGTTGAGTTGATGCCAAAGAGCTCAATTTTGGTCTCATCTGACCACAACACTTTCACCCAGTTCTCCTCTGAATCATTCAGATGTTCATTGGCAAACTTCAGACGGGCCTGTATATGTGCTTTCTTGAGCAGGGGGACCTTGCGGGCGCTGCAGGATTTCAGTCCTTCACGGCTTAGTGTGTTACCAATTGTTTTCTTGGTGACTATGGTCCCAGCTGCCTTGAGATCATTGACAAGATCCTCCCGTGTCGTTCTGGGCTGATTCCTCACCGTTCTCATGATCATTGCAACTCCACGAGGTGAGATCTTGCATGGAGCCCCAGGCCGAGGGAGATAGACAGTTCTTTTGTGTTTCTTCCATTTGCGAATAACCAACTGTTGTCACCTTCTCACCAAGCTGCTTGTCGATGGTCTTGTAGCCCATTCCAGCCTTGTGTAGGTCTACAATCTTGTCCCTGACATCCTTGGAGAGCTCTTTGGTCTTGGCCATGGTGGAGAGTTTGGAATCTGATTGATTGATTGCTTCTGTGGACAGGTGTCTTTTATACAGGTAACAAACTGAGATTAGGAGCACTCCCTTTAAGAGTGTGCTCCTAATCTCAGCTCGTTACCTGTATAAAAGACACCTGGGAGCCAGAAATCTTTCTGATTAAGAGGGGGTCAAATACTTATTTCCCTCATTAAAATGCAAATCAATTTATAACATTTTTGACATGCGTTTTTCTGGATTTTTTTGTTGTTATTCTGTCTCTCACTGTTCAAATAAACCTACCATTAAAATTATAGACTGATCATTTCTTTGTCAGTGGGTAAACGTACAAAATCAGCAGGGGATCAAATACTTTTTTCCCTCACTGTATGCCTGTAGTTAGCTGATCCAGCCAGGCTACTGCGTGTGTTTTTGGTCTGCTAAGCGCTATGCTACATTAGAGTAACCTCTGTAACTATAAAAAGGTGTTACAGATGGGTGAAGGCAAAATATTGTGATGTTCTCATTCTCCTATATCTACATTGTTACTCAACTAAAACCTCAGTCCACATACTAACAAGACCACACAGACAGCACAGAGACGACACTAACCACTGACTGAACACCACTCAGCTTCTCAACAGCTTCTTTACTCCTCACAAACCACCACATCACAAAATGGTGGCATCCATAGTCTAGAACCAATATCGCTTTTTTTTTGTATAAGTATGTCGGATCAAACAACAGTGCATGCAAGATGTTTTAAGTCGTTTTAATGTATTTTTCTTTATCTCCGTTGTAATTTTTTCGTCATTTTTGTTCATGCTAATCACAGTACGATTTTAGTGGTTTCTGTTATATGATATCTGTAGTTAGTGTGTTTTTTTATCCTACATGTGTTGGTTAAGTCTATCCTGCATGTGTTGGTTAAGTCTATCCTGCATGTGTTGGTTAAATCTATCCTGCATGCACAAACATGCATTTCAATTTTCACATGAGAGTTTGAGTGTGGACTGCATTTCATTTTTCAAGATTTCAGTTTACAGATGCCGTTAATATATAACACCTATACATTTATTCATATATTATATATAGCAGCAAAGCTTCTAATATAGCTTGTGATTAAAAATGTTAAATAGAGTTAATACAAACCAGATTCATATTTAGAGTTAATATTGTTTCAGATCAAAATGAGAGCAAAAATTACTCTATAATTTGTTTTACCTCTTCCCCAATAAGGAAAAAGAGCACATAGCAACAATACAAAATAAAAGTTTGTTTTGTGGCAGAAGTGTATCACTTTTATGCTTCCTATCATTTTGCTACCTTTGGTAAATGACCTGGGGCAGGCGTCCAGATTATAGAATCAAGGTTTTCCCAGAAACAAGTGCACTCTACACCCACTACGGGTTGGCTAGCAGCAGACAGACAGACAGACAGACAGACAGACAGACAGACAGACAGACAGACAGACAGACAGACAGGCTGCCCCCATGCAAAGACATTCTCATAAATCTCACATATAAAAATAATTTGAAAAACTACAAAAAATCCATCTCTTTTTAAATATCCTCTTAAAAAACATGAAGGTACCACAAAAAAGTTGTCAGAGCCTGAGATGTGAAGGGGAGGTTTTGGTGAGAAACTGAGGATTGTAATGTTTGGCTGCTACAAAATATATATATATATTGTATACTGTTATGTACTCTATACTGATAGCCTAGGGTAAGAAGCAGAGCGATGACACTTTTTCCTGCCTGGCGATGTCTCTCATCCTTGACTGTTCCTTCTGACCATGTTGCCATGGTGACATGTGATCGCGTTTCTCTTCAGTTCCAGCGGAAGTGGATCTGGCGTGGGCGGTCAGCCCCCTCTTTGACCAGCGGCTTGTGGAACTCTCGGCCGGCGCGGGAGTGGATGTTAGCCCAGCAGAACTCACAGTAGTACTGGAGGCAGGTCACGTTGGCGCAGAAGAAAGGGGCAAACTTCCCCCCGCAACGCGCCCCCTGGCACTCATCACACAGCTGGTCATCCAGAACATAGGGCTTCACCTCCACCTGCAGGGGTACAGGGGTACAGGGGTATAGGGGTACAGGGGTACAGGGGTACAGGGGTACCGGGGAGGGGAGGGGAGGGGATTAGAAGTGGAATACACAGACACAGCACAGATATATACACTGAGTGTAGAAAACATTAAGAACAACTTCCTAATATTGAGTTGCACCTCCTTTGCCCTCAGAACAGCCTCAATTTGTCGGGGCATGGACTACAAGGTGTTGAAAGCGTTCCACAGGGATGCTGGCCCATGTTGACTCCAATGCTTCCCACAGTTGTGTCAAGTTGGCTGGATGTCCTTTGGGTGGTGGACCATTCTTGATACACACGGGAAACTGTTGAGTGTGAAAAACTCAGCAGTGTTGCAGTTCTTGACAAACTCAATCCGGTGCGCCTGGCACCTACTACCATACCCCGTTCAAAGGCATTTGAATCTTTGTCTTGCACATTCACCCTCTAAATAGCACACACACAATCCATGTCTCAATTGTCTCAAGGCTTAAAGATCCGTCTTTTACTGATTGAAGTGGATTTAACAGGTGGGATCATAGCTTTCACCTGGATTCACCTGGTCAGTCTATGTCATGGAAAGAGCAGGTGTTCCTAATGTTTTGTACACTCAGTGTATACTGAGAAAGCCAATAGGATAAATAATAGGCAGTGTATATTTGACCGGCATAAAATCGACAGTATGGCAGCGGACGGCGTTATGCTAAACCAATGTTAACTTTTATGTATTTCCAAAACCCTGACCTTAACCTCAGCGAAACTACCTAAACTTAACCTAAACCTAACACTTGTTCCTCAACCTAACCTTAATTAATTTAGTATGCCTAAATTAAGTTTTTGTTCTGCCGGTCGGATATCCAAATAATATACCTATAAAAGAATAGGTATGGATGTAAATACATGTAGCATACAGAATGTAAGTACACTGAGAAAGCACAGGTAAAATGCTGAGATACATAGTGAGAGATGAACATGCTACTATACAAACAAGGACAGGGTTTGAGGCTCTGTGAGATTCAAAGACAAAGGAGTCAGTGCTAAGAGCGAGATGAGACTGGAAATGGAACTAATTCAATCAGCACTAACAAGCTTTCTGCTCTCCATAGCAACCACCATCTGACTATCTGTGTGTGATGCTGAGGGAACACACATACTCTTTTTCTTTGAACCACAAATCCTCAGGAGGACTGATTCTCTCACACGCTCACTCTCTTACTCTCTCTCTTCATCCCTAGAAAATCATGAGGAGAACATCTAAAACAGGATTGTGTGGTTTTTGAGAGGGGGGAGGAGGGGGTGGGAGGGAGGGAGGGAGGGAGGGTGGGAGGGTGGGAGGGTGGGAGGAAGGGAGGGAGGGAGGGAGGGAGGGAGGGAGGGAGGGAGGGAGGAGGACTATACCCGCTTGTCAATGTCTCCATGTTGCAGCTGGACGAATCTGGCACTGATAGCAGCGATGTAACTCTGCTGATTGGAGAAGGCCACGCGCCCCGCCCCCTTGGGGTACTTGAGCTCTGGATCGGTGTCGATGCCAGCGTAGCAGACCCCCCCATAGAGACGGTCCATAATCATGGCCAACTCCACTGGAGAGAGAAAATAATGGGGGGAGGAGATGGGGAAGTGACACATGAGTAGGTGAGATGGGGGAGGGGTAAGAGAGAGAGTGCAGGAGGGTTTTGTCAGATTAATTATACAAGATGTGATTACACGAGGAAAACATTGCCAGCTTTCAGACGGTCCATATTACTCCAAACACAACATCTGTTTATCTTTTTACCATCACCAACATGAACATATCGATCCAATTACATACTGAGTAGATAAACTACAGCAGGGCTGCCCAACCCTCTACTTGGAGAGCTACTGTCCTGTAGGTTTTCACTCCAACCCTAATCTAGCACACCTGATTCTAATAATTAGCTGGTTGATAAGTTGAACCAGGTTAGACTGGGGTTGAAGTGAAATACTACAGGGGTAGCTCTCCAGGAACAGGGTTGGAGAGCTCTGTGATAGAGGGAGATTGGGTGTGTGTGTTTACCTGCTCTGAGAGGGCGGGGAACGCCTCCTACAAAGATGGTCTTACGAGGATCCAGAGGCTGAGAGCCGTCCATCACAAAGTCACTGTCACTCAGGTTCCATGGACGAATCTGGACCTGGAGACACACACACATACACACATATCCCATACATTTAATCATCGGCAGATATAATTACACTGCGTAGGTGTTGCTAGTCTCACAGATGTCCTTGCTGGTGGCAGTGGCCCTACAGAGAGCTGGGTTTGTGTCGGACTCACAGGCTTGTCTTTGATGGTGGGGCTGGAGACACACAGGTAGAGCTTGCCGTCCTCTTCCATGCAGGCCTCGATCAGAGCCTGCACTGAGCTCTCCTCCTGGAACAGCAGGAAGGCGTAACCTAGGCAACACACACAACACACTCTCAGGGGATAGCGCCTGGACAGCATATCCAATAGTGGGGAAAAATACTGCTACAAATACACTGAATTATTCCCATTTGCCAAGTACTACAAGTACTAAATATACAGACTATGTAGGTAGTCATAAGGGAAAGAGAATGTGGGTTCCTCCCGAGTGGCGCAGTGGTCTAAGGCACTGCATAGCAGTGCTAGCTGTGCCACTAGAGATCCTGGTTCGAATCCAGGCTCTGTCATAGCCGGTCGCGACCGGGAGACCTATGTGGCGGCGCACAATTGGCCCAGCGTCGTCCAAGGTAGGGGAGGGAATGACCGGCAGGGATGTAGCTCAGTAGAGCATGGCGTTTGCAACGCCAGGGTTGTGGGTTCGATTCCCACGGGGGGTATGAAAAAAATAAAAAAAAAATAACTAACTGTAAGTCGCTCTGGATAAGAGCGTCTGCTAAATGACTAAAATGTAAAAAAATTGTTAATTTAGCTGTGCTGTCTCTTCCAGCAGTCACAAGGACTTCATTGATGGCTACAGGCCATATACATACAGTATACAGTGCTAAGACATACCTTTATGACATACATTTATATCAGTTTCAGTTAAAGAAATTCTGAGTTCAGCTTTACCTTTCGGGGGGAAGTAGGATTTGCTCTCAGCCTTGTGTGGCCAGTCCACCACCAGGTGGCCAAAGCGACGGAAACTGTTGGTGATCTCATCTGACGAGAGAAAGATAGAAGAGGAGAGAGGAAGGTGGGAGAGTGAGGAGAAAGGGAGGAGGGGGAAAGAAGAAGGAACCAACGTGAGTAAGATCAACCTTTCACACCAGCATATAGACTGGCACAGACAAACTGTCACTGAACTAACAACATTGTGTTATGCTCTTCCTCCTCTCACCTTCATCTATGTCAGGGGGAAGGCCGCCCACAAACACTTTGCGGGAGAAACGTTCGATGCGCTCCCCGTTCGGGTGGGGGTAACAGTTAGGGCCAAGCCCTGGGACGCCCTGGTTACCGTGCCCGTCGTCAAGGAGGCTGTCTTCAATGGGGAACAGGGAGGAGCGGCCTGGAGAAGAGGAGGTCAGAGGTCAGACCGCATGGACAATGACATCCGCAGGCACCCATACTTCTGCTGTGGATATTCAATATTTGGGGGTTTACCAACAACAGATCCAACCAATGGTTCTGTCCTAACTCTGTTATAACACCCACTGACAGTTACTAGATTGAACACTCATGGAGCACAACGGCTTAATGTTATATACATCAGAGGAGGCTGGTGGGAGGAGCTATAGGAGGACAGGCTCATTGTAATGGCTGGAATGGAATCAATGGAACAGTATCAAACACATCAAACATACGGAAAACACATTTAGCCTACGTTCCAATATTCCATTCCAGCCATTACAATGAGCCGTAACCTATAGCTCCTCCCACCAGCCTCCTCAGTTTTATAATGATTCACATGATAAATGCACAGGGCCTATAACAACATGTGCCATGGCTGTTTACATCTGTCATCAGGCTTTGTGCTTTGTAGCTACAATATAAAGTATAAGCATAAAGCGATAGAGGATTATGTGCAATCTAGTATAGATGTGCTGTAAGACCAAGACACGCAACCATGAATACTCCAGCCAGAGCTCTGTGACTGACTGACAGACAGCAGACAGAGAGGACAGGCTTGAGGTCTGGTAAGAAAGCTGTGGATACAAGCTGTTACCATGGGGCAAAGCAGTAGCAGTGGTTAGAGCAATGGACTGAGGTAAACCTATGGTTTACTGAATCTGAAACCTATTGCAATGTGCTATGTCTGGATGTAAGCACATATTGTGCAGCACAGTGACCTGTAACATAGTACATTGAAAAACCAAAAGCAAATGCTGGTACAAGAAGCAACTGCTTGGGACACCACTTATTATTCATACTAAATGATTTAGGCTTTTTTGTCTCCCACATCAGTTAAAGGTCCAATGCAGCCATATTTGTATCAATATCAAATCATTTCTGGGTAACAATTAAGTACCTTACTTCCATTAAAATTGACAAAAATATATTTTTAGCAAAAAACTTTCTCAAGGAACAATTTTGCTAGGACTGTCTGGGAGTGATCTGAGTGGGGAGAGGAAACTTAAAACTAGCTTTTATTTGCAGAGAGGTTTGGAACTTTGTTATTGGTCTATTAACCAATGTACCGCCTGGAAAGCCCATGCAAACATTCAACCAGCAACTATCAGGAAATAACACTGATTTTTTATTTATCCCACTTTTACAGTGCTATTTTCATCAGCTGTTTTACAATATGATACAAAACACAGAAAAAATAAAATGTTGACTGCACTGGGCCTTTAACCGTTGGTGGCGAGTCATGCTGAAACTAGAAACACTGAATTGTTTGTATCCAGACACTGTTTTGGTAGCTGCAGTTCAGTAGCGTTAAAGCATGCTGTGTAGTGTATGTACACGCAACACACATGACATGACACAGACTGCACGTCACATGAAGGCGGCTTTACCTCGACGTCTCCCATAGCTTCTTGCTGTATGTAAACAAAGTAAAGAGTGGTTTTATGCCTTGCAGACATTCCTTGCAAAGTAAAGCACCCACAGACCTGGCTGGTACTACTGACACTACAGAGCAATCAAACTATGGTCCTCTAGTACCTAGTAGCATTATTTCCCCCTACCCCCTTTCATCTCCTCATCATCTAACTGCATGGTTGGAGTGTCATAAACCTTATTATCGTCACAAACTTATCATTAGGTTTCCATCCACAATTTTTATGCGAGTGTGATGGAAACAAGAAGTGTCGGTTTTATAAATGTCGACAGATAATTTGTTCGTTCAACATGGTGGGATCTTTTTGTATCGGTAAAATTAATTATGCAACAAATTGTGGTGGAAATGACTTGCGCAATTGTTGATAGAATAACTATCATGTGGATGTACATTTGCTGTCACGCGATGCTATGTTGGTGGTCCTCCCACTGCAACTTGGAAAAGTATGCACAGCTTAGACTACAGGGTGGTGAAAGTGCACGGTGATGAGCTTGGTGCTCCTTTCCAATAAATATTGAGGGTGTTCATTTGTATGATAATGAAATGATGATCAGTGCTTAGCTGCCAATTAACAAATACAAATGATCTTGCTCTTATCCATCTCATTATATAACCTAACAGTTACATGGATTCCGTAAGTATAACTACACTGCAGTTATTCTGCAATTACTGCGTCCAAAATACCACAGTCGACTGCAGTTACTGCACTTTTACTGCAGTTTCACTGAGTGTCCACTTTATAAGCGAACTGTTGTCTGAGAGCAGAATGCGCAAAAAAAGAGATTGGGCAAGTTTGTAATTTATCGCAACAGTTTGTGTGACAAAAAAATCGGTAGAGTGGAAAATGCAATGGAAACACAAACACGTTTATTATTCGGTACATGAAATCTTAAGCGCAAAACTGTTTTTTTTGTGCACTATGTCTTTTATGTTTTTATCCCACAACAAAGTCAGTCTGATGGAAACACCTCTGCTGGGGAAATGCGCATTTATTTGTTGTTGCAGATTCGAAAACCTGTTGCAAATTGGATGGAAACATAGCAACTTTGTTTCAAGCAGGACTTTATTGTAAATCGCGCTAGGCTGAGGACCAGCCTAATGGTAACAACACTAGTCTTCTCCTGGCCTCTAGTCATGTGACCTAGCCTACATAAACAAGCTACATGACCTAGCTATCTGGCTCTCCTGCTGCTGGCCATGTGACTTAGACAACTAGGCATTTCAATTCATCATGTGAACCACACTACTAAACATCTTGGACGTTCTTCATTATCTCAAGCCACAGTAGGATTACAACAACAATGTATATCCCTCATTACTTTTTTAGAGTTGACAGGGTGGCTGAGTTTGTCCTATAGATTCTATATACATATATCACAGGTGACATGTTTACTACACTGTTACTACAGTCTAGTGTCAGCCTAACTGACACTCACACAGCACAGCATAGGAGAACCAACACTACTCATTAAACAAAACAATCCAACACAGTCCACTTTGGAGAAGGGTATATCCCAACACAAATTAAGTTCAGAAAAGTGACAGAAATGTCCATCCTATACATCCTGTCTAGCCTGCATCTCGATCTAGCCTGGTTAAGCATCCCTAATGTGATAATGATGATATGGAAACATTTACACTGAGACATTTCTAAAACAGTCTGGCGATGGAGATGGAAGAAGACACACAAGCTGGTGTTGGCCAGGAGAGATAATTACCATTGAGCATGAGCAGGCCGTCGGCTCCAGGGTGAGGGCATCCCACCCGGCCTGAGATTAGAGAGAGACAAACACACACACACACACACACACACACACACACACACACACACACACACACACACACATACACACAGGGATGAGACTCTCAGCAGATGGAGGCCAGGGCGAGGCCATCACGGGCACGGCCATGTATATGGAGCAGCAGCACCATTGTCACATGACTATAGCCTACTGAGCTGTAGTGTCAGAAACAGAACACAGAACAATACCCTATTTATCCATGGAGACAGCTTGAGCTGACAAAAAAAAACATATAGAACTTGCTTAGCATGTTAAGCTACAGAGCTTGTTACCTAGAATGCAATGAGGGAGCCTTAATGCGAAACCTGAATCACTTGCTGTTATGCAGACATCGCCAACTTCCTGGTTATCTAAATGTTTTATCACACAAAAAAAAAAAAACGGAAATAGATTTGGGTTAACCCTAATGAAGTATCAGAAGCAAATGTCAGCTATTTAATGGGAAGAATCGCCGACGTGTGAACAGAGAAAGAAGGGATGCTGGCAAATTATCTGATCTCCAGTTGAAAAAGAAGCAACCCTTTTTCCACTGCCATGTTAGCATGGTAAATCTCCCATGCCCAGTTAGCTAAGCTAATTTCTAAAGCCCTGTTAGGTTTGTGCTTGCCTTCTGCTTCTGCACTGTTAGATTAGCTCTGTGCCTAGCAGTCAGGGCTATAAATGGCAAAGACCACCCTCCCCTACAGTCCCCCCCTCCCCCCCACCCTCCTCTCCGCACTCCTCTGGCTGTCACATGCAGTGTGTGAATGTGTGATCATGTCTAAATTTAGTCTGTTTCCCTCTGGTTGTCTGTGCTGTGAATACTGGCCTATGTCGGCAGCTAGCCTAGCAGTTAAGAGCAATGGGTCTGTACCCAGAAGGTCGCTGGTTCGATTCCCTGAGCCGACTAGGTGAAAAGTCTGTTGATGTGCCCTTGATGCAAGGCACTTAGCACTAATTGCTCATGTAAGTCGCTCTGGATAAGATGTGTGACTAAAATGTCTGCTCTATCTGCTCCTGCAGGGGCTAAACAAGAAATTCAACTCAGAGTCCTGGACAGGGGGAGTACAGGACACTGGCTGTGAGAATGACATCACTATTTAGACTAGTCAATTATGAACAATAATAATAATAGTCTTTCAGGGGTAGTACACTGTGCCAAATTCAATGTACTGTAAATGTAAACCTGCCTCTCAGTCTCTGACATATAAGCTTAGGAGCCTCCAATCCGTGGTCTGGAGGAGTATGTTGAAGCCAGTAGGCGTAACTATGTGTGTAGCTAGCTAGGAGTCATTTTACACTGACTGCAGTGCACCTGGATGGAGTCTCTTCTCAAGATCCAGTAGCTGTGATGAGAGGAGAGGCCTGAAGGCCAGCCCTGTTTTTGTCACCCTACTCCTTGTCCCTGTGAGGAGTGTCCTACCCTACCTTATCAGGACAGAGAGTGCTGCCAGGCTGTCTGACTCCTGTCTGTCAGTGTGCCCCAGGTTAAGCAGTAGCAGTAGCAGCAGGATCAGGGCTGTAAGTTCATTTAAAGACACAGCCGATGGTGGCAGTAATACCCACTCTTACCAGGGAGAACATAAGCTGCTCGCTCTGGGGAAAACAACATGCCTCGAGGAGCGAGCAGGAAGCCTGTCAGTGCCTTCGGAAAGGGTATGCTGCGCCTCATATGCATTCCCCCTAACCACCGTTCTCCACAATCACAATGCCCTTTTCCATTATTCAGTGAGTAAGTGACTCAGTACAGTAAGTATGAGAATTAAAGACAGTGGGAGGGAGTAAGTAAGTAGTGTCTCACCCTTCATTGGATCCTGCTCCGCCCGCATGATGTCAATCAGAGAGCTTTCCAGGGAGTGCATGTTCAGACTGTCGTACATTCTAGAGCGATCCTGAGAGGAGAGAGAGAGAGAGGGAGAGAGGGAGGGAGAGGGGGAAAGACAGAGATATTAAAACAGTCAAACTGAAACACACACATACAACAACTGCAGTGGTCTGGCACATAGGCATGGGTAATAAATCCTGTGTGTGTGGCTTAATATTCAGCATGTGAACAGCACATACATGGATAAAAAAATCTGTATTTATTCACTTCAGGGGTACTAAGGTATGCTTGTGAGCAGAATGGACCCAACGATGGATTCACCAGGAACTCTGGAGCACGTCCGAGAGACAGACAGAGAGAGAGAGCAGAAACCAAATCCAGGAATGGCATTTAACCAGAGTGCTTGCTGGGATGGGATGGAGGTTATTATGAACTCATCAGAGGGGCAATAAGACAGACCCCTGCACAGTAGATCTAAACCAGAGACCACTCAACCTTTATAACATACCACAGATGGCAGAGCCTTTAGAAGAAAGACTTAGAAAATGGTTTACACAGATCTTTACCCTCTCACGGTTGAGAACATTAGGAGAGATAGTGAAAGGTCATATCAGCACCTCTCACACCTCAAACTTAATTTTTACTCTCTTATCTAATTAGACAATAAAAACATTTTCTAGGTGCCGAAAATGAGATGCTAGACATATGGTCCACATATACAGTGGGGGAAAAAAGTATTTAGTCAGCCACCAATTGTGCAAGTTCTCCCACTTAAAAAGATGAGAGAGGCCTGAAATTTTCATCATAGGTACACGTCAACTATGACAGACAAATTGAGGAAAAAAAATCCAGAAAATCACATTGTAGGATTTTAAATGAATTTATTTTCAAATTATGGTGGAAAATAAGTATTTGGTCACCTACAAACAAGCAAGATTTCTGGCTCTCACAGACCTGTAACTTCTTCTTTAAGAGGCTCCTCTGTCCTCCACTCGTTACCTGTATTAATGGCACCTGTTTGAACTTGTTATCAGTATAAAAGACACCTGTCCACAACCTCAAACAGTCACACTCCAAACTCCATTATGGCCAAGACCAAAGAGCTGTCAAAGGACACCAGAAACTAAATTGTAGACCTGCACCAGGCTGGGAAGACTGAATCTGCAATAGGTAAGCAGCTTGGTTTGAAGAAATCAACTGTGGGAACAATTATTAGGAAATGGAAGACATACAAGACCACTGATAATCTCCCTCAATCTGGGGCTCCACGCAAGATCTCACCCCGTGGGGTCAAAATGATCACAAGAACGGTGAGCAAAAATCCCAGAACCACACGGGGGGACCTAGTGAATGACCTGCAGAGAGCTGGGACCAAAGTAACAAAGCCTACCATCAGTAACACACTACGCCGCCAGGGACTCAAATCCTGCAGTGCAAGACGTGTCCCCCTGCTTAAACCAGTACATGTCCAGGCCCGTCTGAAGTTTGCTAGAGTGCATTTGGATGATCCAGAAGAGGATTGGGAGAATGTCATATGGTCAGATGAAACCAAAATAGAACTTTTTGGTAAAAACTCAACTCGTCGTGTTTGGAGGACAAAGAATGCTGAGTTGCATCCAAAGAACACCATGCCAACTGTGAAGCATGGGGGTGGAAACATCATGCTTTGGGGCTGTTTTTCTGCAAAGGGACCAGGACGACTGATCCGTGTAAAGGAAAGAATGAATGGGGCCATGTATCGTGAGATTTTGAGTGAAAACCTCCTTCCATCAGCAAGGGCATTGAAGATGAAACGTGGTTGGGTCTTTCAGCATGACAATGATCCCAAACACACCGCCCGGGCAACGAAGGAGTGGCTTCGTAAGAAGCATTTCAAGGTCCTGGAGTGGCCTAGCCAGTCTCCAGATCTCAACCCCATAGAAAATCTTTGGAGGGAGTTGAAAGTCCGTGTTGCCCAGCGACAGCCCCAAAACATCACTGCTCTAGAGGAGATCTGCATGGAGGAATGGGCCAAAATACCAGCAACAGTGTGTGAAAACCTTGTGAAGACTTACAGAAAACGTTTGACCTGTGTCATTGCCAACAAAGGGTATATAACAAAGTATTGAGAAACTTTTGTTATTGACCAAATACTTATTTTCCACCATAATTTGCAAATAAATTCATTAAAAATCCTCCAATGTGATTTTCTGGATTTTCTTTCTCATTTTGTCTGTCATAGTTGACGTGTACCTATGATGAAAATTACAGGCCTCTCTCATCTTTTTAAGTGGGAGAACTTGCACAATTGGTGGCTGACTAAATACTTTTTTTCCCCACTGTAGCCTGACCACACACTACTGCTCCACACACAGGATTAAAAACACTGAACTAAAAGTGGTCCAGTGGTCAGTCTGTGTGTGATTTGTAGCCTAATGTTAGGCTAACATTTACTGCCTGACTCTGAGGCATCAGTCAAGGCCCCTGGCAGCAAGAGGGTGGGCAGAGAGAAAAGGCCTTTGTTTGGATAATATCAGATTATTACAGGCAGCCCAGCCAGGGTCCCTCCAGGCCTGTCTATAGCTGGGCTTTACATAGGGGAAAAACAACATGGCCGTTAAATATCCTATAGCCTGTCATCGGCTGGACATTCTGGTTTAGGTGATGCTGTATCCACTGTAGCAACTGAGGAGTGTTGCCACACTGTCACCGAATGAGAATGTAGTACAGGTCTGTGTATTATAACATCCTTTATATGGTATGACATATCTTCTGAATCATTTATAAAGGCATTATTATGGAATGATCGAAGCGTGTAGGAATGTACACTCCATGGAATAGGAAGTAGGTAACCACTCTCTCTCCCCCAGTGCCAGCATACACCCCCCTCTCTCTCCTTCTGAATATCTCTGTCAATGACGTTCACATCATGATGAAGCACAAATGCTAAACCCCTATCCAAACATAACACAGAGGAAGGAAGGAAAAGAGAGAAGACGTGTATGGAATCTGAGGAATTGCTGGTCAGACACTGTTTATGGAAATGAACAATTCCTGGAGCCGTGCCTGCTTCCTGGAAGAGGAAGAGGAGAGCCATGACAAAGGGGAGAAAGTGATGAGGGATTACTTTGAAAAATATATCAGGGGAATAACTAGCGTGTTTTTCCGGTCTCCACCAGGGAAAATACAGTATGGTGACGGGGGCCCGCCCAAAGATCCTTTCTAAAGGCCTTCTACCTCCAGTTTCCCCCTTTGTACTTAAAAGGTCAGAACTGTGCTGTGCATAATTAGATGACATCAGTTATGGGTCTATAAGTATGTGTACATAGAGCTATAACAACTCCCATCTTGAAATAGACTCAGGTGAAATCTGCTAAATGTGGTGTTAAAGTACCTTTAAAGCAGCTCTAACTGCAGCCCCGTTCCCTGACACCTCCACTATGGCAGAAATAAATAACACCGTTCCCATCTGATTGAAATGGTAATTCTGCTCGTCATCTGGGAGTGACATTTATTCTCAGCTGTGTGTTTTCTAAAGAGCCCCTTTACACTCTCCCCCTTCCTCTCTCCCCCCTCTTCTCCCTCCCGGCTCTCTCTCTTCCCCTCTGCCTCCTGATCTGCTCTCCCTGTCTGGCTTTCTGCGTTTGATGTTTGTCGCCTTCCTGCTCCTTCTTACCCACAATCCTACACTCTGAAACACTCTGTACTTTGAAAACAGGGCTGTGAATATTAAACTGTCCCATTCCCATCATTTAAACCTTTCCCCTGTCATCCCTGTTCTCTCTCTCTCTCTACCTTTGATCGACCACTCTCTCTCAAACACCCACTCTCTCGCTCACTCTCTGGCTCCAATATCTAATTCAGGAAATGATTCCGTAATCCTATGAGTCCGGCCCTATTTCACTCAAAGCATTAAAACCCTTTTGCACTCCTCCCACCAACATTTATACAGTACACACACACACACACACACACACACACACACAGACCCCTGTATATTTACACTGAGTGTACAAAACATTAGGAACAGCTTCCTAATATTGAGTTGCACCACCTTTTGCCCTCAGAACAGCCTCAATTCGTCGGGGCATGGACTTGACAAGGTGTCGAAAGTGTTCCACAGGGATGCTGACCCATGTTGACGCCAATGCTTCCCACAGTTGTGTCAAGTTGGCTGGATGTTCTTTGGGTGGTGGACCATTTTTGACACACACAGGAAACTGTTGAGCATGAAAAACTCAGCAGCGTTGCAGTTCTTGACACACTCAAACTGGTGCGCCTGGCACCTACTACCATACTCCGTTCAAAGGCACTTAAATATGTTGTCTTGCCCATTCACCCTCTGAATGGCACACACACACAATCCATGTCTCAATTGTCTCAAGACTTAAAAACCCTTAACTTGTCTCCTCCCCTTCATCTACACTGATTGAAGTGGATTTAACAGGTGACATCAATAAGTGATCATAGCTTTCACCTGGATTCACTTGGTCAGTCTATGTCATGGAAAGAGCAGGTGTTGCTAATGTTTTGTACACTCAGTGTCTGCTTACTGAGAAAAACACATACACCACAGCCAAATACTGTACATTCAAAGCACGTACCTGGAGAGGCATAAGCGTGTTAATGTTACTGTCTGTTCGGAACATGTTCTCCTCAATCCAGGCCTTGGGGCCCATGGGGCCGGCAGAACGGGGGAACTTGGGCGGTGCGATGACGTTACTGGAGAAGGGTTTCTTCATGGGGGAGACCTGGCTGACAGAGCCCAGGATGCCCATGCCTCCACCACGACGGTGGTCCCGACCCCAGGACATACCCCCAGAGCTCCAACCACTCCCCTGGTGACTGCCCCCCCAGGGAGACTGCTTCACCATGGGCTAGAGAGAGAGAGAGAGGAGATGAGATAGAGAGAGAGAGAGAGGAGAGAGAGAGAGAGAGAGAGAGAGAGAGAGAGAGAGAGAGAGAGAGAGCATGAGGGAGGAGGGGATGTGATTGTATTAATTGTTGGTATTTTGTGTGTTTCTTTTGATCCTGTGTTTCCCTCTGCCATAGCCTACTATGACCTGGTCCTTTGGAGGGGGTGGAGGGGTAAGAAGATTTAGAGCTTTAAGACTAAGACAAAGTCATCCCCATGCACACTGACACCACTAAAACCCAATTACACTCACTCACTCTCTCTCTCTCTCTCTCTCCTCCTCTCTCTATCAATCGTCTCTCTCTCTATCTCTCTCTATCGCTCATCTCTCACTCTCTCTACTCGCTCCTATCATCTCTCTCTCTCACCTCTCTCTCTCTCTCTCTCCCTCACTCTCTCTCTCTCTCTCTCTCTCTCACACACACACACACACTGTCCCTCTCTCTCTCTACCATACATCCACACAATCAACTCTCTCATGCTAAAACTTGCATGCTGTCATGCAGCAGTCTCCAGCCCTCCACTCTATGCTGTATATATGTACAGCTCTTGCACATTTAGGAAAGATGGGTATGTCTACGTGTGTGGGAGAGAGTGCTTATGTGTGTGTGTGACGGCCTTGGTGCTGATGATGTCTAGCCACAAGCAGCCACACATGCACACTCACCCGCACACACCCTTAGCATGCACAGACACACACACACACTCACACAATTACATTTACATTTGAGTCATTTAGCGGACAATCTTATCCAGAGCGACTTATAGTTAGTGCATTCATCTTAAGATAGCTAGGCGGGACAACCACATATCCCAGTCATAGTAAGTACATTAACCTCTCCCTCAACGTCAGAAAGGCAATGGAGCTGATCGTGGACTACAGGAAACGGACGGCCGAGCACGCCCCCATTCACATCGACGGGGCTGTAGTGGAGTGGGTTGAGAACTTCCAGTTCCTCGGTGTCCACATCACTAAGGACCTATCATGGTCCACACCCACCAACAGAGTCGTGAAGAGGGCACGGCAACGCCTCTTCCCCCTCAGGAGGCTGAAAAGATTTGGCATGGGCCCTCAGATCCTTAAAAAGTTATACAGCTGCACCATTGAGAGCATATTGACTGGCTGCATCACCACTTGGTATGGCAACTGCTTGGCATCCGACCGCAAGGCGCAGAGGGTAATGCGTACGGCCCAGTACATCACTGTGGCTGAGCTCCCTGCCATCCAGGACCTCTATACCATGCGGTGTCAGAGGAAGGCCCTAAAAATGGGCAAAGACTCCAGCCACCCAAATCATAGACTGTTCTCTCTGCTACTGCACGGCCAGTGGTACAAATGCACCAAGTCTGGAACCAACAGGACCCTGAACAGCTTCTACCCCCAAGCCATAAGACTGCTAAATGGTTAGTTAAATAGTTAACCAAATAGCTACCCAGACTATCTGCATTTACCCTTTTTGCACTAACTTTTTTGACTAATCACATACGCTGCTGCTACTGTTTATTATCTGTCACATTATTCCTAGTTATATGTACTTATCTACCTCAATTACCTCATATCCCTGCACACAGACTTAGTACTGGTACCCCGTGTATATATCCAAGTTGTCGTTACTCATTGTGTATTAAGTATTTTACTTTTCTATAATTTCTCTATTTTCTCTCTCTCTGCATTGTTGGGAAGGTCCCGTAAGTAAGCATTTCACTGTTAGTCTACACCTGTTGTTTACGAAGCATGTGATGAATACATTTTTATTTGATTTGAACCTCAGATCTATTAGTTAGTCAAATGCATGCACACACACACACACACACATACACACACACACAGTGTGGTGTTTATTGAATAATGCAGTCCCAGCCCTGCCCTACCCTGGCCAGACAGTGCTTACATGTTCTGGGAGCACAGGGATGCATTTGTTTTCATCATCATAGCTGCTTTTTTGCACTTCTGTATACTAGGCTAACTAATATGTAATAACATATATTCATTACCATGGCTTGAGCCTAATACCATCTAGGAGTGACATGATGCATTAACTTACATTAGCTTTACAAAAAAGTATTATATTAATATCGCCCTCCCACTTCAACAGTTTCTTTCTATCTGTCATTTTTAAGGATCAATCCTCTACTCTATGGGGATCCTGATGATGGTTTCCATGTCAACAGGTGAGTAGAGAGGACTGGAGATAGCTCACCTGGTGGTGATGGTTGTAGTTGTTCCTCTGCTGCAGGAAGACGCCCTGCTGGTGCTGGGGGTGCATCTGGGGGCTGACCGGGGACCGGCGGCTCTGCTGCGGCTGCTGAAGGGCGTTGATCTGGGGCGAGAACGGACTGCTGAAGCCCTGTACGTTAATCCCTGGGCACGGATTAGCCGACACCGGAGAAAAACTCTGAAAGAAGGCCGGGTTGATGGAGGAGGGAATACCGGGGTAGAAGCTGTTGTCTGGGTCGGTATGAGCCATCTGATTAATCGCGTTTGCGTGGTGGATAGGGTTGGCCGAGTTGGAGACGGGTGGTGGGGAACTGGTCTGAACGGACCACGGGGTTCCGAATCCATGGAGTGGAGGTGAAGCTGAGCCGCCACTCGGGTTCTGCATCTCTTGGTTCTGGAGGTTCGGAAAACCGCCCCCGAGACCTCCGGCCAACATATTGCCGGTGCCACTGCCATTGCCGTTATTAATATGGTGGGTGATGGGGGAGTCCATTTGGATCTTAACCTTGTTTGGATTTACGGAAGTGGGCGATGGCGACGCAGCAGTCTCCACATCGGCTTCAACCTCCTCCACTGGCGAGCCGCTGATTCGGCCGGGGCTGGAGTCTGCGCTACGCTCGGGTTTGGTGGAGACTTGAGCGGTGAAAGGCTGCCTCTGCGGCAGGTGACTGAATTTTCCTTGGGGTAGGGGCGACTCAGTGCATCCAAACTCAGCTAGCTGATGTATTTTCCCGTCGTGCTGAAGGTCAAAGATAGACTGCGTCGGGCAAAAATGATCTTGACCAAAATGGGTAAATTCTGGATTCTGGATCAGGTGGTTGTAGTTGGAAGTGAGGGCTCCCAGCTGGTTGTTGGTTTGATTTGGTTGCTGTTTCCCGGTTTTATTGATTGTGTTGTTGTTGCTGTACTTTTCCTCTGTTGGCGGGGGTCGTTGTTCGGTTGTCACCCCCACAGGCTCATCCTGCATGTTTTGCTGATGCCCAGCAGCTGACAGGAACAGTGGGGACAAGGCGACGACGCTACTGTGCGAGACCCAGGGCGAGCCGGGTCACAACTGGCCGATGGAAACCGGAGAAGAGGAGGAGCAGATCTTAGAGCGCGTCCGTCGAGGAGGGTAGAGCGGTGTCCAATGGTCGCTGTCTGTAATAAACCAAACCGTAATCACCCATTTATTTATGTACAAATATGGATTTGAACGCAGTTTTCCATTCCTCCGCCTAGAACAACATAGGGGAATGTGCAGAATAGATGCGTCGACAGATAAATAGCCTACGAGAGAGGAGGGGTGTGTCTCTGTTCATTCGGCGTTTTCTACAATGAATATTTGTTTCTTCTTTTAAACCCGATGAATATAGGCCCCTATTTATTCATGTTAAAGTTAGCCTTATATTGTAGCCTACGCAATCCAGTCCTGACCGACCGTATACCCCCTCCTCTCGATACCGGCCGGACTGCTGCGGAAGAGGATTAAAGGTCCCGATGAAGCCTACGTCACGACCGCATCAAGTTCTGTTCCTCGCTCCGCCCTTTGTAGTGAATGCTGCTGAGCTCTTCTACCCGGGCCGAGCTGCAAAGAACACCGCATTGTTTACATAAATCTTTCATTTTTAATAAGGTCCAGTAGCCTACTTCGTCATGATGTCCTGAATATTAAGCATTCAATTACATTTATGAGTTTGTTTTATCCACTGCAGGTTTGGCCAGAATGGGCACATCCAGTCCCCAATGTCAGATATCCATCAGAAACCCCATCCCCACCATCATATGCTTTATTCCTACTGATGTTGTGTCACATATGGACTAAAAGCATGAATATATAGGCCTTAAGCAGCAGGTAATTAACTGCTTCGTGTCCAGAGCAGCTGTCATAGAACAGGGCCCAGTTGCATAACACATCCTAAGTGTTTCCCATTAATATGTAACTTTTTGGGCGACCCAACCAAATTCACATAGATATGTGAGTTATAGATCTGTCATTCTCTTTGAAAGCAAGTCTAAGAAGCAGTAGATATGTTCTATGTGCACTATTTCTATGCTTCCTGATCTTACATTTGGTTTTTGCTTTTACTTTTGTACACCAGCTTCAAACAGCTGAAAATGCAATACTTTTGGCTATTGAACATATATTTCACCGCGTTTTAGATTGTTTTGTCACATAAACAGAAATGTGGCAAACTATTAGTATTTTAGCAACCAGGAATTGCAGAGCGATTTCTGCATATTGCACCTTTAAGGGATTACCTAAGGAATAATTTTCCCTTACCTAAGGGAATTGTTTATGGGTGTTGCATATAGGCCCTCAAACATTTCCTTAGGTAAGGGTGTGATAGGTGATTTGAAGGAGTCAGGCGCAGGAGGGTAAATCACAGAATACAGAGTTTATTCCGTAGCACAGAGTTACGCTGGATAGCGTCAAACAGTCCAGTGCGCAAAACAGGCGCACTGGAACAAAACAGGCACACGGGAAAATATACCCCGGCAATACAAAATACACGTAGCTCAACCGAGCTACTCTTTCCTCACAATAAACAATCACCCACAAGGACAAGGGGGGCAGAGGGAACACATACATGTTCTAATGAGGGGATATGAACCAGGTGTGTGTAATAGACAAGACAAAACAAATGGAATGATGAGATATGGAGCGGCAGTGGCTAGAAGGCCGGTGACGACGAACGCCGAAGCCTGCACGAACAAGGAGAGGAGGCAGCTTCGGAGGAAGTCGTGACAAAGGGCATAATTTAAGGGGATTCACGGGTTATCATTGGGACCACCTGATTCACTGAATGAACATCTCATCAAAGAGATCACATTTATTTTGGGAGATTGCAAAATAGAACTTCTACATTCAAGTAGAAACAAATTGATTCAGAAGATAATAAAACATGTTTATTTTAGTTACTTTTTTCTCAAATTGTTTCTATTACTTTCTAGCACATCAAGCTAACTTACAGAGTAAGTAGCTAGCTAGCCAGCTAGCTTTGTAGCCATGGATTGTGCACCTTCCATTGTTTAGCTAAGTAGCTAGCTAGCTAGCTAGTGGATGTTTTCCTTTTGAAACCAGGGCAGAGGAAAGCAACATTCACCTCCACAAATGCTGTTTACATTGATATCCATACTGAATGAAGCACTTAAGGGACCTCATGTCACCCTTAACTTTTTCAATTGATTCAAGGGGGAAATTCACCATTAAAATATTTTGTGTAACTAACTTAAAGTTAAGTTAAGGAAACTTTAAGGGAAAACATAAAGGGGAAAATGCACTTTAGATGTTTTATGCAACCGGGCCCAGGCCTAAATCATGATGAATGAGGTTCCCCATTTTTGCACCACCCTGCAGCACCATCAGCATCTCATCTCACGCCTTCCTCTCAGGCCAATGAATATGACAAACTATTGCAGCCAACTATGCAGTATCATCCAACCTGGACTCAGGGGTAGACATAACATAGTAAATGAAAATCCGGGACACTCAAATTAATATGATATGTTACATTTGGTATGGTATGTATTAATTTGTGGATATCCATCATCCATTTCATATGATACAGTAAGTTACAAATTACAATTCGTATATGTTACGGATTACAATTCTATATTCATTTGAAAATGTATACTAAAAACGTGGAAATCAATCAATCCGGCATCATTACCACAATGGAAAAAAAAAAAGATGTATTATTGAAATAGCATGGGCGACCGAGAAAAACAATTTGATACAATTTAAGGCCATGTGGCAAACAATAATGCAGGCACTAGGGATGGAGGTGTGAGCATGTGGGTCTGGGCAGATGAGATGTAGACGTTGTTTGTGTGTGTCTGTAAGTTGTTGTTCATATGTGTATGTTTGTATCTGGTGTGTAAACAAAATAAAAAAATGAAAAATAAAAAAAGATATGTAATGAATTGTTATTCGTACAATATGTTACGAATTTGCTATTCGTATGATATGTTACGAAATCCAATTTGTTGTGGCTAACATTAGCAAGGTGGCTAACGTTAGCTAGGTAGCTAATGTTAGCTAAGCTAGGGGTTAGGGGTTAAGGTTAGGGTTAAGGTTAGGGTTCATGTTAGGGTTAAGGTTATGGTTAAAGGGTTAAGGTTAGGGTTAGGGGAAGGGTTAGCTAACATGGTAAGTAGTTGCAAAGTAGCTACAAAGTTGTAAGTAGTTACAAAGTTGCTAATTATCTAAAAATGTTAAAGTTGTCCATGATGAGATTCAAACATGCAATCTTTGGGTTGCTAGACATTCACGTTATACACCTACCCATCCACCCCGACCAACCAGCCTCCTTTCGAACACACAACCTTTGGGTTACTAGACGTTCACGTTATATTCTCACGCATCCACTCCGACCAACCACCCTCCTTTCATTTTTGCTTTAAGTAACCTTCTATCTTATTTAACTATACCAAATGTAACATAAAGTATCATACTCATTTGAGTGTCCCGGATTTTCATTTACTATGTTATGTCTATGAGACCAGGCTGTGTCGTCAGATAACTAGACTTGTGCGTGACCAGTCATCTCTGTGCCATGCGTGCGTCTTTGTGCCATATGCTAGTTTCTATTAAAAACAAAAAATCTATATTTTAAGTGAGAAGTAGGCATTGGTCTGAAGCCGAAAAAGTAAGGAAATTCATAGCTACTGTAGTAGCTCAAAGCTGTGTGCTGGAAAACCTTGGTAGAGCATGGGTGAAGTAAGCATTGTGATGCTCATGTGAATTTCCTCCCCTCTTCAGACCAAAGTCTACTTCTCACTTAAAATGTAGTTTATTATTTTTTATTTCCATGGTTTTTACACCAGAAGGTGATTATACAACATTATTATACAGCATTATAATACAGCATAACACAGCAATAAAGGTAAAGTAAAAGTACACAATAATGACAACTGGAAACATAAATAATGTAGTTCTTAGAATGTATTTAATATTAACAGCTGATTTTCCAGAGGTAAGCGAAAAAACAGAAACCCTAATATGGAGTAAACTGGAAAAGAATTCCCTGATCTCTTTTAACAAGACAATCGAGCAAGCTCCAGGAAAATCTACAAATTCATCATGTACCCATTAACTATAGAAAGAAGAAAATGTACTTTTGAGTTTACTGAAGAAAGTACTAAGTTACCTGTAAACAAAATTGAGTTATCACAAAATATAACATTTACAACCAAACGTATATTCATCAGATATAGTAAACTTTGTACATACAATTCAGGGATGGCTACAATTTATCTTGACGAGCTACAGGGCTATTCAGGCTTTTTTGTTTAAGCCCAGTTCGACCACATGTGATTATACTATTCAAGGTCTTGATGAACAGATGAAAGCATAGCCCTGTGGCAAGTCAAGAGTAATTCTAGTAATTCCTTATACAAACACTGTAACAAATGACAAACTGGTGAGTCATTAGACAAGTACAAACACTAGATTTACAAATCAGACATTGGATAGGGGCTCTAAATCCTTTAGTTACAAATGTTCTTAGTAATGCTGTACACAGCTGTCCAACTCCAGTAATGTTGATGTTGAGGTCAATTAACCATTTCTTTGTGGATTGTATTGTGTGCTTGGGGTTATTGTCTTGCTGGAAGATCCACTTGCGGCCAAGTTTCAGCCTCCTAGCAGAGGCAACCACGTTTTTTACAAGAAATGTCCTGGTACTTGGTAAAGTTCATGATGTCGTTGACCTTAACAAGGGCCCCAGGACCTGTGGATGCAAAACAGCCCCATAACATCAAAGATCCATCACCATATTTTACAGTAGGGATGAGGTATTTTCTGCGTATGCATTGTTTTTTCTAAGGCCAAACCCACCGCTGGTATGCATGGCAAAATACCTCTAATTCCGTGTATTATGACCATATGAGCACCAGCGGTGGGTTTGGCAATCCATAAGCACAGATGAAGGATATCAAGGATCTGGAAAGATTCTGTATGGAGGAATTAGTATAACATAATTTTCCATTTTTATTAGCATACATTAGCATAGCTCAGTATTTGTATTATTTATTTTATAAAGTCTTTTTTGCGCATCTTATTCAAGGGAGCCAAAAATTCAGGACCCCACATGCAGTGCATTCGGAAAGTATTCAGACCCAATGACCTTTTCCACATTTTGTTACATTACAGTCTTATTCTAAAATGGAATAAATAGTTTTTTCCCCTCATCAATCTACACACAATACCCGATAATGACAAAGCAAAAACTTGTTTTTAGAAATGTTTGCAAATGTATAAAAAAACAAACAGGAAATATCACATT